CAGGCCTGCTCTTGTTCCTATTGGTGTCAACAGCAAAGCTTGCACTGACTTCAGTAGGAGGAGGTTTGGTTCTTTCCTGTATAACTTTGTCACAGTCTACGTTCAAGGCCAAGTGGAACTGAGAGCCCGCCACTCCCACTCGCGCTGCAGCAGAGATGTGTGGTATGTCTGAAACAGGGCTGGCCTTAGGGAAAATGGCACCCTGGGCAAACTTGCATTTTGGCACCCTTTGAGTTGAAGTATGTACTAGTATTAGCAAAAGCTTCAGAAATAAAGCCCCAAAGGAGCTGCTGGGCTGGATTTGGAGATTTGCTTCCCTGCAGGCAAGCAATACAGCTGCTTTGCAGGAGCAAGGTGGGTGGACTGGAGCAGGCGCCACCCTCACCTCGAACGTGCCAGGCCTGGTTCCTACTGAGCAGCTGCTGGGGGCAGGGGGCAGACTGGGCTGGACACCGCTCCTCCTGCCTAGGATGGAGATTTGGCTGGAGTGGGGCGGGTGCCCTAGGCAGTCCCTTACATCGCCTACCTGTAGAGCTGACCCTGATCTGAAAAGCAGATCCTCAGTCACTTCTTACAGACCAGTTCCTGTCACTGCAAATAGTGAGATTTTGTAAAGGAAAACTGTAGAAATCAAAATCAAAGCAGGTTCATTTGGAATGAATGGCTTGAGTCAAAAACCCACTGAAGTCAAACTCACTTTGAGCTGCATCCAGAACTTAGGCCACTAAAGAATCCGCAACTCGCTCCACAGAGCTAGCTCTGTTGCACCCTGCTTACAGGAACTGGCACTTAATCCTTAGGCCTTCCAGGGGCAGAAGTTGCTTGGAGCAGAAACAACATGCTGCCCACCTGAGCTAGTCAGGAAAGATCAAGGAACTCGCTATTGTACTTGACAAGCAATGGATTTCCACTTTCTCTTTATAATGTGAGTCCTGGAGAAAGGTGCACAGGCTTTACTATAAATTGTGCTTGATTTCTCAGAAATGAATCTTAGCAGTGCAGGCTAGTGCGCCAAAGGCACTCTTTGAAATTACATATGGAGTCAATAAAAAGAGTGCTTTGCTGTAGAGGTAGAGAGGACTTCCAAATGCAATTCTTTGGAAACAGAACATCACTTAAGGATTACACCAAGAGTGGCACAAAGTGAAAAAAGTCAAATAATGCAGACTGAAGTCTCACGCTCCCATGTTAATAATCATCTTTACTGATTTTGCAAGTCACTGCAGGACTTGAGAAGCACGTTCACTGGGAATTTCAGGGAACACTGCTCAGTTTCTTCCAAAATCTTAATTTTATCCTCAGAACCTCTGCCTAAAACTTGTTTTCATTTTTTTTTATTTTCACTTTTTGTAATTACTTGAAAATATGCACTATCCAGTGAGAATGCAGCCTGCACCCCAGCTGAAATTCAGAGCAAGGTCTGCACAACACTTAAATCCCACTGGCCTGCAGAAGTCCTCAGGGCTAGAGTGAATTTCACCCACGTTGTATACACGCACTCAGTCTCACCCACGTTGTATACACTCACACACCCACATTGTATACACACACTTCACACCTAGTCACATCCTAGATGTGAAATTTGCCACTGTGCCAAAGGCCATGAGGACGCCCAGACCACTGGTCCTGCACCTTTTCAGGACCTGATCCAAAGGTCTTTGAACATGTAATCTTCCAAAGTCCTTTAACCTGAGGCTTAAATGGGATTTAAGCAGTGCAGGAGGTTTCATATGGATCATCTACCGAGAGATGAATTCCACCTTTTGGATACAGAAGTTTCTTTATGACATTAAGGATGTAAAGAAGTAGCCTTTATATTAGCGCTATGAAAACCCCATAAGAACAGCATAGTGCAACATGTAAGTGAATGCTGATGCTTAATTAATGTAAATCTTAATTTATCACGAAGGCTTAGAGTTATGCTTACTATAAATGTGTAAATACCTTCCCTGGGCTTCCAACTGCTTGATAACAAGCAGGATGGCAATAAGGTCCCAGTATCTCCTTCCACCAGCTGAGTGGTTTATTGTCTCTAAAGTTCCCCAGCTAGAAGTCTTTGCACTTAGTTCAGTTAATCATTCATGACTTAACTATGAATTTTCAGTGGGTTTGTTTTTTAGAATGTGGGTTGGATTTTTCTACAGCCTTGTAAAGAGGTGAAGCAGGCGTTTTCTGTTGCTTCATATCAAAATAATACAGTAACCCTTGGAACAAGTCTGGGCAGAGCATAATTAACCAATTACTGGTCAGAATTGCAAACTGGGAGAGAGCTGGGATCTGGAAGTGATGACATAAACTGGAATATGCATGTCCATGGAGGTGACAAAGCTATGGGAAAAGCAAGCTGTACTCCATTCAGTGTTTGTTCTGATCGGCTGGAATCAGCATTAGAAGGAAGTAGTGTACCACCATGGAGGTGGACAACCTTAGGGACTCTGCCACTGATGATCACAACAAGTTCCCCTTTTCAGAAATTAGAAGTGGAAAAGAAGCATTTGACTGGCCAGTGCTCACAGTTCACTTTTTCAGAACTTCTTTATAGCTTGACATTTACATGCCTACGTGCTTTGCTGGCCCAGGGTCATGCCTCATCTCCACCCAGCAAAGGCATCACTATCCCCCTCTGTGTGACTGCTGTTCTTAGTGACTACTACTCTTGGTCTGGCCAGACAGGTTGGTAAACAGTTCCAGTCTTGATCCAGAGGGAGCCTGTCACTTCTCCCCTGACATGGCATTCAGGTCTCCTGTTCTACCCCCAGCCAGCTGGCTTGTGTTCCTGTAAGTTTTAAAGAAACCATACAACTCATCACTGGAAGCACTAAGTGTTTATTGGCTGTTTTGTGTGATGTATTAATTCAATATGAAAAATAGCCAGGGTTTCCTTTGTGTATGTTGAAGGCTGATGTACATCACTGCAGCTGAATAAGATAAATACCCAGTGTTTTTCCAAATAGAAAAGATTTTTACAGTTAAGCAGTTGTACAAAACTAGAACATTCAATGCTTTACAGCTTTTTGAACAAGAAAAGATGGAGAGAGGAAGAAGAATACCAGCTTGACTCTTGCTTCCCCACTATGCTGAGTATGGCTGGTGCCTGCAGGGACAATTTATCTACTGTATAGAGACAATGACAATATTACCTTCACTACTTGTTAGGCTGTTTCCTGTTTGTTTTTTCACCACAGTGAACTCATGCCATCTCTTCCTAAAAGTCAACATTACCATCTTTTAGGCAAGAATCGTTTGAAGATGACTCCAAACACACTGACCAATTAAGGTGAGTAAAGAAATCAGTAATACTATTTGAGACAGACTGCATCTCCTAAGGTATTTAATTCTCATGCAACTTCATTATGGTCAGTTGGTATCATCAGCTGTAACATACACAAAGCTTTTGAACCTGTAGGGGAAAATTTAGGATGGACATTCCTAAATTCTCATTACACTAAACTTGAATCTTATAAACTTTTGAATCTGGCTTTTGCCCCATTTTTTAATCGAGCAATACAAAACATATTCAGCATTCAACATTTAAGGTCCTTATTGTATGAAATATTTGGACAGATTTTGTAAGGTATGTCTGTAGCTGCAAAATGTGTAGCAAATACACGGTTATTAGGATTTCAAACAAATATTAGGCATAAACCTGTGAGCTCATTTTGCATGCAACTGGGTATGCCTATTCTTTAAACTATCTCTGAACATTTTCAAATCCATTAGGACCAAACTTTTTGGGGGGAAAATGTTTATGCCTTTGGATGTCCCAGTTTCTATGCACAGTTGTTATGACCACGTGTCACTTGGAGAACAGCTTTTGCACAAGACCACATGCACATCTGTTTTCATGTATCATCACTATGATGACAACTGCAATAACATTACACACATGCACAAATTAGGCCTGTAACTGCACACCTTTTTTTTTTTGAAAATAAAGAGCTAGGTGTACAAGAGTGCTTGCAACTGAATACCCAAAGATTTTGAAAATACCCTCAATGCAAACCCCAATGCAATCAGACACTGGAGCATTTGGGCTGTCTGTCAGAACGCTACAGTCATAATGAAATGAAAGCCTCTGGAAACTTTCAAATGTACACTTGCTGTTGTTGGCTACATGATCTTGAAGAAAAGACTTAGAAGCCCTAACACACATTTCCCAAGACATTTCTGCAAAGAAGGCGCCTAGCAGGGTAGACAGCCTACTTTAACAGAGCCAAGCACTGTATTCACCCATTTAGCCACTTCAAATAGCCCAGGAGTGACCATTTCTTAAGAATACATAACATACTTAGCACCTCTATCAGACACTAGCATAATGTGTAATTTTCCTCTCCAGCATGCTGACAAACAAGTCAGTCCTCACAAGACCCCTGCTAGGTAAATAAGTATTACAGCCATTTCCATCTCCTAGGTGGAGGGAGAAAATTCTAGTTCAGATCCCTGCCTCATCAGAAGAATGAAGCACACTGGTTAAGCAAAGTGGTGGGATGCAATGATATACCCTTGTGGCAGGATTACCTGCCTCAGTTAAGAAACAAGCCATAGCTGAGCAGTCAGCACTAGCTCACTCTCTCTCACTGTATAACACACAGATATACTGTATGTGTATATATTTTCCTCTCTCACACCCCCAGACATAGATAGTAGATAGTATTTTTACAGTAAATATCATTTTGGGCTCACCAGCTCTGACGATGACCAACAAGCTTGGTACCCATATTGTTAATGGACTGTGGTAACCCCCACAGTCCAAGTGCAGCTAGATTAAAAAAAAAAAGCAGGGGGTCAGTCCATACCCCAGTGAGCTTCCACTCTAGAAAGTGAAAACAGGCAGACAAAAGGTGAGGTTTTTAAAACCAACTCATTCAGAGTACAGCAGAAGTCTCTTCAGACTGTTCACTAAAAATGATGTTCACTTTCTTTTCATCCGGTTGGTGCTGGGTTCCCTTCTGTAAGAGAGACCCCAGCGACTGGCTAGCTCGTTGGCTGAGGGACCTCACCCACGACACACAGTCCTCACTGGTCATTATGTACAGAAGGGGGTTCAGGGCACTATTCAAGCTGGCCAGGCCCCGGGTCACCTGGTAGGAAACATAGACGCTGCTTGTAGACGGGGAGCAGAAGCCCTGGTATTGCCAGGTTCGGTACAAGAGGTTGAGGTTCCTGAAGATGTGATACGGGAGGAAGCAGATGGAGAAGAGGACCATCACAAGGACCGCCAGTTTGATGCACTTCCTTTTGATGCTGGGGTCAATATTCCCATTCCTGCAGAGAACCACCACCACGTGGCAGTAGCAGCCGAGGATGATGAGAAAGGGGATGACAAACCCCGTCACGGTGATGGCCAGGATGTAGAGCCGGTACCTGCCCACGTCTTCGTTCCCTGTCGTATCGTGGCACCGTGTCCCGTTAGGATCCATCTTGCTGAAGGTGAAATCAGGAGACACCTGAAGCATGACCCAGCCCCAGACCCCTGCACAGAGGCCAAGGGACGGGCCCAGGGCCTGGCACCTGCCCCGCACCTTCAGCGGGTAGACGATGCCCTGGTAGCGCTGGATGCTGATGCAGGTCAGGAAGCCGATGCTGGCGTAGAGGTTGAGGTGGAAGAGGCCCCGGGTCAGCCGGCACATCGCTCTGCCGAAGAGCCAGGTCCTGCCCTGCAGGTAGTAGGCCACCAGGAAGGGCAGGGTGACCACGTAGAGCAGGTCGGCCACCCCCAGGTTGCAGAGCAGCAGGCCCAGGGCGCTCCAGCTCCGCCGCCGCGCCTTGGCGCACAGGTTGCAGAGCCCCAGCGCGTTGCCCAGCAGCCCGGCCAGGCTCACGGCCAGGTAGACGGGCGGCAGGAACCGCTGCGCG